GTACAGAGACCTTTCATAATAAACTACTATCATTAAAACGTGTCTATATACAAAGTTTCCAGTCGAAATTGGAAAATAAGTTTTTTCTAAAGGATGAGACACGATATGCATTTAAAAGATATAGTAAAAATGAATTATCTGCTTAGTAATAAGCTGAGGTTTCGAACCTTTCTCAGGAAGAAAGAGGAGCAATGTTATAATTCTAAATCGACTGATCCCCTTGAAGACAAAATCGATCTATCTTTAATTGATTGTTGTTTATTTAATATGAAGATATTCAATGAGACATTTTCAAAAAAACCGAAAATGCCATAAGAGGTCACAGTAATGAAGTGTAATTGGAAATTGAATATCTCAAGAACGACATGTCTTGCTCTTAGTAAAAGTTTAAATAAAACAGTTATATCTCTTCATCAGTAGATCATAAGTCTGAATACTTTTAACCTTTCCTTCGTCTCATCAAAACTGACTCATTTGGTTAAATTCATGTGGATGTTTGTGGGTATTAACCAAGCATTGACTAGTAGTTGTTGGTCAATGCACTATGTTGCCTCATTTTCTTCCATCCTCTGAGAATTATCTATATTTCTAGGTTAACCAGCTTTGTCAGTTTTTAGTATTGCGATCTGTGTTTCATGAAAAGTGATTTCTTCAAAAACTGTACATGTTGAGGTTGGGTGCGGATTTGCGTGTGGGATGTGAGTATATGGATATCTTCAACCACACCCACACCCTTTCTAGCAAAAGTGTTTTTCAAGTAATATTTCTAATATTTTGACACATGATCGCTAAAAGCTTCTCTGTAAATATCAGGAAAATTCTAGAAAAACCGTCAACTTTTTTAGGTTAAAGCTAGCTTTTTGCTAGCATGCAATACAAGACCATCTTTAGAAAAGCGATATGAATTTCGATAATAGAAGGCTATTGACTTTTTATTCCATTGAACTAGAGGTGTTACTTTATCTTTTTCTTATACAATAAATATAAATACGATCATTGTATTCATAAAATAAACACAAATGAATTCTTTATTTTTGAAAAATAAGTATAAATAGAAAAATAAATCTTTATTGTTAAAAGAGAAAGTCAAATAAAATCGTTATATCTATAAAATAAAGATAGATGAATTGTTTACTTCCAAGAATAAAGACAAAATAAAGAATAAAGAAAGGTTTATTTTTATAATAGGTAAATAGACAAATACCTAATATAACAGCAGGATATGTTAATGAATATTTTTTCTTATCATCAACATCACTTCGACATGTGATATAATTAAGAATCAAGCTTATACATGAAAAAATATATACAATAGATTCTTCTAAATATTTCCTTTCCATTTATGGTATCATAACTTTTTGTGAACTACTTAGTAATAGCTAAAGCTTATGTTTTCATTGAAGAGAAGGCTTCTTTATTATTTATTCTATCTTTATTTTATAAATATGAAGATTTTATTTATCCTATTTTTTTGAATAATAAAGATTTCTTTTTTTTTTATTTACATTTATTTTTCAAATATAAAGAATTTCTTTATTTTTATTTTATAAAGATAAAGATTTTATTTATATTTATTCTTTACCATAAAGAAAAGCAAAAATAAAGTAACACCCCTAAGTAGAACAAAAGAGTAGACAAGTTTAATTTGTCAGTATTTTGATTTACATCAGTTAGCACTAATCACTATCGCACTTCGAAGTATGGCGTGTATCAAAGTTTAGTTCAGTATTACACTTATCAGTATAGGAGAATGAGGAATTCACAAAGAAACTGGAGTTTTCAAATTAAAAATTCAGAAAATGCGTTTCACACGAATCGTGATTAAAAACCGTTAAAGTTGAATAATCTCATGAAAATAGAAACACTTTAATCAAGTTTCAAACATGAAAAAGCTCATTCAAATTAGATTTGTTTTGAAGTTTTAGCATGGATATTGTCCTCTAATACACGATGTTTTTCATTGTCAACTGGGTTTTACTTTGACATTTTCTTGAACCGACATGAATAAAATTTTAATATCAAAGTTGAAAGCAACCACATCATTTTTATCAATTTTTGAGATCTTTTCATAAGGATACTCAATTTCGTAGCCCTGTTCTGCTTTGCCCGCAGGGCAGGAGAGGGCGAAAAAAACTTTATGACTCATCTTCAGGGCAAGGCAGGGCAACGCAGAGCAGGACACAGGGCAGGGCGCAATAGAAGTGCCCTGTGACGGTCTCTGATAGTGATATTGTTTATGATATTTTGATGACAAGAAATTTTCGAGATGCATAATGTTGTCTTTTTTGTTTTATAATTGAAATAAATCGAATGAAATTGTATAATAAACTCATTTGAAAGTTCGGACTTTTGTTCATCACCAAAAACCTCAGGGCAGGGCAGGCTGAACGTTATAAAGTAAAGTCTCAGAGCAAGGTACGCTAAAAAATTTACAGGAGAGCGCAGGGTAAGACTGTCAAATATCAGCAGCGTAAGTTACAGGTTGTCAAAATGTCGTGCCCTGCAGCCCTCCAACAGAGATCGAGGCTGATAGAGACCGACAGGCTCCGTCTCTGTACATCCCTAATCAAGATAAATCACTTTTCGATTTTTTACTTTCAGATAATTGATGATGACGAATTAATATTCCGTTTTTTTCTTTTTCTATTATGATTTCATTGAACAAAAAAATCTAGAAATAGATCATATCATCAATTTTATTAATAGAAAAAAATACAAACAACATAGAAAATAAATTAAAACGAACAAGAACAAAAAATAAAACACTCTTCTTTAATTACTAATATGTTTTTCATAAATCTTTTTTAAATGTTCAATAGTATCATATAAATTTTTCGAAAATCTCATTGATATCTCATTAACACGTAATGATATACAATACAATATCTTTATAATCTTGATAAATTGACTTTTTATTCCTTATTATTTTATATATAGCTTAACCATTTCTTTAAGAAATGTTTCTATATGTCCATTTAATATTGATAAAAGAAGATGTTGTGCTTCTTGTACAATTATTTTGATGATAATTATCTGAATGAGAACTTATTCGATGTTATTTAATAATATCTACACATTTTTGACATTGAAATGATGCACGTAAACTTTGTTGAGAAAATTTAAAACATGATGGATTATCTGTTGCATTCTATTAACAAAATAAAAACGAACGTTTTACAATAAAAATAGAAAAGTAAATTATCATTACTTTGAAGTTTGAAATCTAATAAAGCAAATTATTCAATTATAAGATGTAAATATTCAAGTGGATTAATGATTTGGTGAAGATAATTCTAAAGCTTTTTCATAATCTAATGATTCAAATACACGTAAAAGTTTTTGACGAGCTGCATTATTCTTAAAAACATCAAACATTTTTCGATTTTTTTTGAAGAAGAATTTAAATTTACTTGAATATGAAAAGTATTATGCAATAAAGAAACTAATCGATGATGAATTCTTGTAGCTCGATATTTAACAAATGATGAATAACTGTCTGATGATGGAATATTAAGTTCAACATCAAGATATTTTAATACACGTGTCATACAATTAATAATTTGTTTATCACTTAAAATAAATTCATCAAAAAAAAAAAAAAACTTAAAGTTTAAAATTAAATCGTTGGATTTTTTTACATCATCTTATGACATTTTAGTCATTGGTGCATAATCTTTCTGTGATCTTGCTATTATAAAATAACTATTTGATAAATTCCATGATAAAGTATAATAAATTTCATGTAAATCAGCAGGATTTTCAGCTAATTTTAAACATCGATAATAATAATCAAATGCTTTTTTGATAACTTTGTTGTTCTTGTTGAGAAAATTCTTGTCGAACACCATTTAGAAAAGGTAGATAAAATTGTACATAATATCTCATTAAACGTCCAAGATTTGAATGTAATAAATAATTCTATATTTGATGTATAATTGGTTTTTTTCAAATGCTTGAATATCAGCATCAATTGATAACAGCTGAGTGTATTCTGAATGAATAACAGATAATAGATAAATAACCATGGATATAGATGCTAAATCCATAGTAGCTAGCAAGACCTATACAAGTGGATATGCATTCAATTCATCATTATCAACTGATTCTGAATGATTATTCATATCTAAAATAATAATAATTATTATTTTTTTCAAATATTTCAATGTCATATTTTTTTTTCTGCATATAAAATTACTAAATACTCAATACATACGAAACTAAATTTCTTTAAAAACTTATCTTTTCTCTCTTTTTTTCATTATTGAATTGAGCTTTAAGATGAATTTCTTAAAAATAATATAATAGAAGAAAATTACAAAATAAAATCATTATATGATCTCTCTCTATACGAATTTTTTTATTATAATAGAAGTCAACAAAAAGATATAGAAAAAAAAGTCATCGTTAAAAGACAAGAAAAAAAAACGAAATGACTTCTTCCACTAACAAGTGATTTTATCGGATATAAATGGATAAATTTCTCTGTATGATGTGTAGAAATATAATTACATATAAATAAATAAATAAACAAACAAACAAACAAAAAAATGAAGAGAAAACATAAGAAACAAATACTGTTATATATATTGAGCTAGATTTTTATAAAATAAAAGCAATAAAAATAAAATACATGAATCCTTACAATAGGGGTGATACTTCAGTATATTAGTTTGAAAAATAAAGATAAAGATAAAGTAATAAATCTTGATTCTTTTTTTTTTTGTTTTTTTGTATTTTCTGAATGATACTATGGTTAGAAGTAGTCTTAAGCCACAGAAAATATATTTAGAAAAGATTTTTATCATGAAACAAATATGTTTTTATTGATAACAAGCTAGTTGAATGATGATATGAATTTGTTCTTTTCTTTTTCATAATATTAAGCTGATTTAAATTACAAAAATGACAATTTAATCAAATTAATATTATATTCTATATATCAACATTAAAACAATTTTGATTTATAGAATAACATGTTACTTTGATCGAATTGTCAGTTTGATAGAAAAAATTCAGTGAACACATTTGTTTCATGATAAAAATTTTTTCTAAATATTTATATATATTTTTTCAAAGAATAAATGATTTATTTAGCTTTAGTTTTTTAAAGATAAAGGATTACCCCTATTATACAGAAATAGATAAACAATTATCTCTCATTACATAAATATATTTCTTGACTTTTAATATTATAAATCATAAATTCTAAAATTCTATTATTAGTTTATCAAGTTCATGGGTTAATTTCTGTTAGATATTATTATTCAATGTATTTTATAATTTTATCTTCTTTGTTCTATGTAATCGTTGCATAGTTTGCATTGACGTCTCTGAAGAACGTTTCAGAGATTTCTGAGTTAATTCATCGATATCTACAAGAAAAGAATATTATAATAAATAACAACTTTTTGTTTTTGTTCTTATTCGGTAACAATCATTACCAGTATCACATATTTTGTTATCTTCAACTTCATCATCCATACGTACATGCCAGCGCATTTTGTCATACCAAATTAAATTATTATATTCTTCTAAACGTTGTTGTCCAAGTAAACTAAGAATCATTCCTTTAGTACATTTGATCGATGTTTCAATATGATTCGATAATTGATCAATAGATTTAAATGATAATTTATAATCATCTTCTGACAAGTCAAGTTTTGATAATGATGAAAGAAATTTCTTACGTTTCATATATTCTGTGGTATGATTTCTATTATCTTGTGATGGTAACAACTTTAAATATGCTTGATAAACGATTGAAGTTCTTTTTGTTTGATTTATTAAAAAATTATCGTATTCAATTAATTTCTCATCTAATAAAAATTTTAGTGCTGCGTTTCTTGTGGTAGCTGATTTATTTATATTACGAATTGTAATGTATGATTTCATGAACAGCACACCACCTTTCAATAAGATCAATTTTGCTGTTTGTTTTATAGTTTGATCAATATCTATAAATGAAAACAAAAAAAATATATCTATATACATGCAAGAGTAAATCTTTCAAAAATGACTATGAATAATTACCATGATTATTACTGTGAGATGAATCAATAATGTGATTATAATTATTATTTCCATTGTTGTTGGTTTCTTGACCTATTACATAACAATAATAGATACGGATGTCTTAATTATATCATGTTATAATTAAGCTAAAAATTGTCTTACTATTACTAATATTATCATTGTAAATCGTTGACGAATTATTCATTGTAAAAACATGTTCAACTGCATGAGAACAACTATTAGATTGATGAAAAATTATGTTATCTATGAATTAGAAGTCATAGGAGAATGAATGCTTTGTATTTTTATAAAAATATCTATTATACCATTTTTAGTTGAAGAATCATAAGCTTCGATCTTTCGAATTATGCCATCGATGACAGTCAACAATACATTATTCAATTCGAACATTTCGTCTTCTTTTAAATGAAATAAAACAAAGAACTTATATACAATAATTTATTTTTTGGACATACCCAATTTCTTACTATTGATGTTGAACATATTTCTACAATGTTTTTCATTTGAATCTAATTTAAAAACAAGAAGATGTTAGAGGAATAAATGCTATAGGTATTTTATGTCTGTAAATAATTTTAATTGAGCATGTGACAATACTTCATTTATTTATGATATTAATAAATCAGAATTATTTTTATTTCCATATTCACTTAAACATATAATTATGAAAATATTTGATCCCTTGTTTTACGCTATTACAAAAACCATAAATTTCTTTCGAATGAAATATTTGCGAAGATTTATCAATCGATGATCACAATGATCAAGAAATTAAATGTTAAGTTAGAAATAGTACAAATTTAATTTTTTATAACGATGAGAAAAAAAAAATTTATAAAAATTTTTCATCCATTCATTATGAACAGAGATAGTTAATTGAATAATTCCATTGTTAGACATAGAATAGATACTATTAGTAGCCGAACAATTTCTACTTACTAGAAATCATTAGATTATCATTTATTCGTGTTTCTTGTTCAATATTAACAGCTTCTTGAATAGAATTCAATAGATTATTCTCGTTGTCTTTCATTATCGTATCTATGAAAAATAGACATATACCATTGATTCAAGAAGAAAAAAAAAAGACTAAGAAAAATATCATACTTAATTGAATATTATTATTATTATTATATGATGAAATTGTTTGATTCAAGCTAATGATATCATCATCTTTAAAAGAATGATCATCATTAGAATGTGAAAGATCAGCACAACCATTGACGGAGGTTGTCGATGAAAAAATTCCTATATCACTTTGAAAAGCTAAAATGATGATGAGAAATATATAATATTATGAAAATTAGATGTAAATTTTTACTAACAATCATCATATGTTATACTACAATTTGCTAATAGTTCATCTTGATATGAATCATTTTTCTTGTTGTTATCATCAAGTGAACTAATAATATTCAATACATCAGACGAAAACAATGTGTTGTCAGAAGCTACAAGTATGTTGTTTAATTAGAAGAAAATAAAAAAATCATACAAATAAACATAGCAAAATTTTTTTTTCATACATAAATGTAAGTTACTCACAATCAAAATGAAATTTTTCTTTTAAACGAATACCCATGTATTCATGATTCAAATGAAGAAAATATTTGTTTTCTTGAGAAAATATATAGTAATGTAAATATTTAAAGCTATTGACTATATTATATTATACTTACCGTTTTCATCAAGCTGATTTAAATTATTAATATTTGTAATAATTTCATTGTAAACATCGAAGCCAACAATAAAACATAAACAATCAAGAATTTGTCTTAACTTTGACTTTTGCTTGTCCATTTCAAAAATAAAACCACAAGTAGTTGATGATTTATTTAAGTTATATACTGTTGTCGATGATGTTGTAATTGATGAAGATGATGGATTCAATATTTGTATATGTTTAATTGATTCAGTGTAAGAAACACTATTATAATAATCATCAATATTGAAATTAGTTTTTTTGATCGTTTTTTTAAAGCTATTCGAATGATTATCATCATCATCATCATCATTATGAGAATCATTACTATAATTATTTATCTCCATCGAATTATTCAAATCATCTTGTTCGTTACAATTATAAATCAAAAATTCTTCGTTTGGAAAATAATATTTAAATTCAGAATAGTACTGTGCTTTATTTTGATACCATTGCATTTGATCTTTTCCAATTGTATATTTTTTAGGTAAATCATTAAGACTACATTCTTCATGAAAACGAACATAATTTTCTAATGTTGTATTAATATGAAAAAATTTTAATTTCAATTCAAAATCTTTTCTTTCTTCATCAGATACACCAGGTAAACACCGAAAATAACATTTAAAAAAATTTCTTGAACGATTACTTTGTTTTTGGCCAGCTTCTAACATTTTATTTGAGCAATGTAATAAACCAACCTGCACTAATTCATCTAACTGCTTTTCAAAATTTAGATTGTTTTTAATCATATTCGAAGGAACAGGACTTGCTCCAACAATTGATCCACCTGTTGGATAACCTTTTCGTAACCATTCTTTCATTATATAATTATATTTAAACGTCATAAGAATACAATCAGCAAAATTTTTGATAATCAACTTATCGGATATCAATGTATCATTATTTGATGAAAGACTAACACGTGACAATGATGCTTGAGCTCTAAGTGCTTCATTATTTTTCATATTAATATTAAATAATGTTAATGCTTGACGTAAAAGAAAATTAACAATTTTAATTCCAATTTCACATGCATCTTTTTCAACATAAATTATTTGATATTTATTTCGATCTGAAATAGGTGTTTTTACAAAATACATTAAATTTAATTCATCACGAATACGTGGTATCCATTCTGCATCAATACGTTCATTTTCATTATAATCAACATCAACATTAACATCATTTTTTCAAAAGATAATGCAAGATTTAAAGCAATTAATATTGCTTGACTAATACAACATAAACGAGGGGTATGTTCCATTATTTTCACAATAATATCTCCTTCATGTTGAGGACAGTTTTTTTCCAATGCATCATCATGAATATCACTTATATGATTAACATAGAAATTTAACGAGCTATTTTCATCAAATTCATCATCATCATAATCAATTCCATTACTAAAATATTGATAAAAAAAAAAAAAAAACTTAATAATTATTGATTTCGTTTATTCTATTCATAATTGTTTTTTATTAAACAACTACACACTCCGTATATGAGCTCATGATCACTCTGACATAAACTAGTTGTTTTAAAAGTTTTCTTGTTTTGTTTTTGTTTGTAAATTATACATAAGTTAGAAAAATTAGAGATAGATAGATAGAGAGATTTTACCTTCTATCAAGTTGACTATTTTTTGTTTTTCTGCAAACGAAATTCGACATTATCCAATTCGCTTATAATTAGATATAGAAATGATAATGATGGTAAACGTCTATCAATTTGAAATTCATTGTAAGCATCAACACGTATACTTTTCCTTTCAGGCATAACAAAATATAAAAATCGAGTATATAAACCTGTTCCACCTCGATATTCTAATATTAATCGAATTAAATGATAAAATTTCTCGAGCGTAGAACCACCAAGAAATGATAAAACACCATGTTTAACAAAAATACTACCACCAGCACCCGTCATACGACTAAAATTCGATATTTGACCATCAAATGCTTTGATTAATGTATCTGAACTTTCAGCATATTTTTCATTTCCATTTGTATCAAATAAACCTGAAGTGTAATGATAACATATAAAGATCAAACTCTTTCAAGTGAATTATTAATAGTTACCAAATCTAGATAATTGAGTATCAGCTTCTGTGGTTGCAATTAATAAGTTATTGGAAGCATTGAATGATGCTAATAATCCAATATAGGTGTTGTATTATCAATAATTGTCGATTTCGAAACAATATTGTTGGTTAATAAACTTTTTTTTTTTTTTTCTTCGGTACAACTCGAATGTTTTTTATTTGTTGTTAATTTTTGTACAT